TTGTGCGGGCGTTACGCATGTGTGTGTGTGTGTGTGTGTGTGTGTGTGTGTGTGTGTGTGTGTGTGTGTGTGCAGTTACGTTAAGTATTGTGAGCAGTACCAGCCCCATGACCCAATAATGCAAGGATGTCTTCCCAGCAACCCCTGGATCACAGATGATATCATGTTTTGGAACATGATCTGTGAAACGTGAGTCACATGAACACACATGAATAACCATTTTAAATTCCTAAAGTATACTAATGTCCTGTCTGAAGCTCAGTAATTGCTCTGTATATCTGTGTTTTCCTGAAATAGAGTTGCCGTACCGACTAAACTGCGTGTGGAGCACTGGAGCTTTAGCTTCATTAAGCGTCGGAGAAAACGTGACGTGGCAAAGGGATCTCATTATAATATTACTGCCCCTTAATCTGTAAGTTTACCCCCACGGTGCCGTTATTGTGTTTTCACAAGCGACAACGGTGTACTAGCTTTAATGCCATGGCGAAAGTTTGAGCAAAACATGCTAACTGTTCTGTCTTTGGCTGCACAGACGAGCACAGAACACTATTTAGATCTAAAATAAACATGTGATTTATTTCCCAGCAGTTTGCCTTCACAGACATAACCGACTGTTTTTGTAACTCATGTGTGTTTTTAACGTAAACTTTGTGTGAATGAGAACTTAGTTTAGTACTCACACGCTGTGTGGTGGCCGCTTTCTGTCCGTGTGCTTCGGATCTGTGCACTCTGAAAAACGTATATCAGAAGTTTAAACTCATATGGTTTAAAACGCATGATTTCAGCGCGATAAACATGATAATCAGAACCATAACAGATGTTTTAGCAGGTCCGAGATGTAATGGCACAGCTCTATTCTGGAAAAGCGGCAGGGTGCAGTAGCTCATTTGCATTTAAAGAGACAGGCCCAAAAAACAGCGTGTTTCTGCTTCCACTAAAAATAGGCATTTTCAAAATGATATAATAAATGATCTGTGGAGTATTTTGAGCTGAAACTTCAGAGACACATTCTGGGGACACCAGAGACTTACCGGTATATTACATATTGTAAAAAGGGGCATAATATGTCTCCTGTAATATTTTTGAGGAAACCATGATTTTGTTTTCCATCTTTGATGAATAAAAAGTTAGAAAGATCAGCATTTTTTGAAACAGGAATCTTTTGTAACATTATAAATGTCTTTACTGCCAAAAAAAAACAAACTGAAACCTAACTTTTGAATGGTGTATGTCAGATGTGTTACAGAAATGTTGGATGAGATAAGAGAACAGTGAGCAAAATCTTAGATTACAAAAACTTATTTTATATTTCAGTTATACTTAAAACGGCTTTTGCTATACAGGTTCATTTAAATCTTTGTAGCAGACTGTACAGCTTGACTGGTGATGAATGATTTAACTACTTTGTCAAAAAGCAGAATTAAATGAGTTCAAAATCAGTTCTGCGTATCAGACACTTAAACAAAAAATGATTTGGTATGGTTGTATATCAGTCGTATTAAATCAATATTGACCAGTTTTCATTACTAAATGATAGGATACTTTTATAAATGGTATTTACACCATGGAATTGGTCCAAAATCATGTTTTTTTTTAAATTTTGGTTTGAATCACTCTTTATATAAACATCTTGTATTTTAACCCAGTTCTGAAGAGTGTCCCAAAACTGTCTTTCCCGTCTGTACTTTTGGAGCTTTAATAGATTCCATTTTTATTCTACTGCAACTCTCTGTATATATAAATAATATAACAACTTTTCATGTTTCTCTCTCCCCCATTCTCTTTCTCATCCCTTCCCTCTCATCATCTTCTTTCACCCTCTTTTCTTGGTGTTCGGTTTGTCTCTTGTTTTTAGCGGAGAACTTGTGTTTCTGGCAGGCCTGTGAGGATGTTCGTCACGGCGAGACCTCAAAAATTCCAGAGAAAGTGGATGAGGTTTACAAGTATGACCTTAATAATTTATCCATGTTACAATGTTAAAGACATTTACAAAATATTTATATTTTAAATGCTGTTCTTTTGAACTTTCTCTTCATCAAAAAATCCTGAAAAAAAAAAGGTTTTCACAAAAATATTAGCTTTGCCATCACAGGAATAATTTACATTTTAAAATATATTCCAGTCTATATTTATATATATATATATAGATCTGTTTTTAGTTGTTTTAATACTACAATTGATTGCTTCTGTTGTCCTCATTTGTAAGTCGCTTTGGATAAAAGCGTCTGCTAAATGACTAAATAAATAAATACATATTTTATACTGACCTGTGGCCTCTACAGAAGCATATGCCATTCTCTGTCATTTTTAATCAGTGTGCCATATGAATGAAAGTCTTTCATCACCTCTAGTTTGTCTCTTATTCATGTGATTTTGTATATCAGGCAGTTCCTGGCTCTGAGTCGCTGGGTGAATATTGACAGCAAAACCATGGAAAAGACCCTGGAAGGACTCAAGCGCCCTCATCGTTTTGTCTTGGATGATGCTCAAATGCACATTTACTTCCTCATGAAAAAGGTATAATGTTCAACTCTTTGATCAAATGCAAAATATGCATGAATATACAGTACACTACAGTTCAAAAGATTTGGAAAGAAGTCTCTTACGCTCACCGAGGCTACATTTATTTGATCAAAAATATAGTCAAAGTAATATTGTGAAATATTATTTCAATTTAAAATGTTACTGTTTTCTATTTGAATATATTTTAATGCAATCTATTTTTGTGAAAGCAAAGCTGAATTTTCAGCAGCCATTATTTCAGTCTTCAGTGTCGCATGATCCTTCAGAAAGCATTATAGAAACATTTCTTATCAATGTTGAAAACAAAATTTGCATGAATATACAGTACACTACAGTTCAAAAGATTTGGAAAGAAGTCTCTTACGCTCACCGTGGCTACATTTATTTGATCAAAAATATAGTCAAAACAGTAATATTGTGAAATATTATTTCAATTTAAAATGTTACTGTTTTCTATTTGAATATATTTTAATGCAATTCATTTTTGTGAAAGCAAAACTGAATTTTCAGCAGCCATTACTTCAGTCTTCAGTGTCGCATGATCCTTCAGAAAGCATTATAGAAACATTTCTTATCAATGTTGAAAACAGTTTTATTCTGTCACTTTTGATCAAATTAATATGTCCTTACTGAAAGTAAGTAAATGAACTAGATTTAGAAGTAGTGTAAATGAACTAGACTAGATGACTGATTACTGAGGTGTAAATGAATATGGGTCGCTTGTGATTGGATCATCCAAAGCCTAAAATGGTTTGAATATTCTTGCCAATGTTGAACAGACATCATTTGTGTTTTTTTGCAGGATTCATACCCTCGTTATCTCAAATCTGATCTCTACAAGAACTTATTAGCCAGAGCCATAGTACCACAGGAGACCAAGAAAAGGTAAGACGCATAAAACCCGTATTGATCAGTCTGCAGAGGAAGAGACGTCTTATCAGTGTGTTTCTGTGTGTATGTCCAGTGTGTTCCCGTTCATGCGTCGCCAGCATCACTCCAGCCCCTCACCTGCCCTCACCACCCAAGCTGCAGAGGATGATGGGAAGGCAAAGAACTCTAACTCTTTCAAAAGCAATTCTGGAACTGCATCCCGGCTTTAAACATGCACACAACGTGTACTTTTTATTTTTATTTTGTGCTACCTTATGATACCTAACACAGTTGTAAATGGATCTGCATTGCTTCCTGTTGTGCTTTACAGATGTTTTTAGAATATAACAAAAGGTTATTATGTAATAAGAATGCTTGATTCACATTTCTCTGTATCATATCACGCCGGAATACAGCTTTTCGTGCGTTTCAAAGATACAATGTATTTATAGCAATAATGCGATCAGACATAAGCACAATCTCACTAACTTTCAGCTGATACCTGAAGTGACATGATGGGACAGAGTACATCTGTAGTAAATGTGTAAAACTATATAATAAATTATTGGTAACTTGACATAAAAAGGCTAACCTTAATCTGTATCTGGTAAATAATCCTGAGTAAAGGAATTTTTTCAGTAGAAGTATTCAAAAGATACAGGTTTACATAGAAAACCCATTAGATTTAATGTTAATCACTCTAAAAGAAGGAAATGCCTTAAACTTTGACATACATATGTAGTGTTACAAAAGTCTTTTATAGCTCAGCAAGGCTGCATTTAATTATATATACAGTGGGTACGGAAAGTATTCAGACCCCCTTCAATTTTTCACTCTTTGTTATATTGCAGCCATTTGCTAAAATCATTTAAGTTAATTTTTTTCCTCATGAATGTACACACAGCACCCCATATTGACAGAAAAACACAGAATTGTTGACATTTTTGCAGATTTATTAAAAAAGACAAACTGAAATATCACATGGTCCTAAGTATTCAGACCCTTTGCTGTGACACTCATATATTTAACTCAGGTGCTGTCCATTTCTTCTGATCATCCTTGAGATGGTTCTACACCTTCATTTGAGTCCAGCTGTGTTTGATTATACTGATTGGACTTGTACCCACTGTATATATATATATATATGTGTATGTATGTATAGGTAAAACAGCAATAATGCAAAAAGTTATTACAATTTAAAATAAGTTTTCTACATTAATGTATTTTAAAATATAAGTTTCTGTGTTGCAAAGCTGAATTTTCAGCAGGCATTACTCCGGTCTCAAGTGTCACATGATTAATCAGAAATCATTCTAATATGCTGATTGTAAAAAAAAATAAAAATAAAACTGACCCCAAACTTTCAGTTTCCACTTCTGTTTTGAATATTTTATTTTAAAGACTAAGATTGTTTTTTTTGATTAAGATGTTATTGCACAGCATTAGCTAATTAGATGATAATGTTTAACATAAACTATAAAGTTTAACTACAATTCTAAACCTTGTTCTAATGAAGTTGTTTGTGAAAAGTGAAAAAAAAAAATTAAGTAACCAAGTAGCCTGTTTTAAATAATCATTGCATTATTTCTCCATTTATTGGCATACAGATTACAGAATATTTTAAGAAAAAAAGAGGCAGAAATCAAGAGCACAAATAAAAAAAAAACTATTAAAAAACAACAAAGAAATTTTAACATGTACCTTCATCAATATTCTCTGTGATTGCATTGCCTCATTCTCAACCCCAAACACAAGTGTATATTTGTGCAATTTACAAGGCCTACCAATGAACACAAACAAGAACAAGGATTGTCATGATAACCTATATTAAATCCAAACTAAATCCTATAAGAAAGAAGAAAAGGTTTTGGGATTCACAGATTTACAAATGGAACTATTAGCAAATATCTCATATTTTGTTTCAATATCATGTGAAATTCCAATACAAAATGAATATAAAACATTGTAAATCTTATCTGTATCAAATTCCAACTCTAATTTAACACTTTACCTCCTCTCGACAAAACAAGAGATGAATCACCTTGCTGTTACAGTTAAATGGAAAACCACAAAACTGATTTACATACATTTGAGTTTTAAAGGACAGTTGCAATGTGCATTTAAACCTAAATGCCTCTTCAAGTTTAAACTGGCCTGAGGGTTCAGAAGTACAGTATAATGCATATCTATGTAAAGCCTTGACCAATGCAGAGGTTCATCTTAAATACATCAGGTCATCTTATGTCAGATACCCATTACAAACAAACACATCTTTAGCCTATTAAGGGGAGATATTCATACTTGCATACAAGTGCAATTTCACATACTGGGTCAAGCAAGCACAATTTTAAAATGTTCTTCCCCTTGGAAAAGTAAGAGCAACATTTCAAGAAAAATACCAAGGCTTTTAGGGAGGAAGAAGGGTGGTATTTTCTTGTACATTCCTGACAGTGATGTAAATAATAGTGTAAAACAATTTTGGCTATTAAATGAGGAATGATTGTGCCTGTTCTCCAGTGTAAGCAAGCTAACAATAGTTCAGAGACACAGACAACAGTCCTTTCTGGTAATGAAAATGCCCAACATGATTCTTAATGTAATAAGCAGGTCCACACAGAATCTGCCATTTTTTTATTATTTTCTGTGCTGATTTTTGAAAGAAGATCTCTGGAATTTAAAGGAATATTTCACCTTGAAAATCTAAATTCTGTCATCATGTAGACAGTTTTTTTTTTTCTCTGCAGAAACAATCCAAGTTCTGTGGGTGCAGATTCAATGTGGCGCTACTCATAAATCAACTGATAAAAGTTCTGTATAAACCTAGAAATCAGTAGTGCTTTTTCTTAAATGAGATATAAAAAAAAAATAAATAAATTTTGTCCTCAAGGAACTTGACAAATGCAGTGTATTTATCTGATAAATTAATTTCAATATAAACTGACCCTCACAAAAGTGCTTAATTGAGTAAACTGGGTCAAATGACATTCACTAAGTTACCTTTCGTTTATATTATTCATTTACATATTTCATAGACATTGCTGTTGTTCTCTGTGAAATCACTCATTTGAAAAGTTTAAAAGTGTAAAAGTATCCACTTTAAAGGAATAGTTCATTCAAAAATTTAAATTATGGCATTATTTACTCACCCTCATGCCATTCAAACCTGTATGCAGTTATTCTTTTCAATGAAATACAAAAGGAGAAGAAGTGTTTATGACTTGTGCACTATATTCCAAGCCAAACAGAAAAGAAGTCTCTAATAATCTTCCCTTGACTGATGTGGTCTCTATGAACTCTGAAGAATCTCCTATTGTGTTACCTTGATTTGGTTTATGGATTTAGAATGACAGTAAAAATTTCATTTTTAGGTAAACTATTCCTAGAAAGAAGTTATTAATGTGCCTACAGCCATACTGGCGACTGCAGAGGAGAATCTTTCAGATAAAGCTTGACGTGTTAACCAATAACATTTGTAAAACTGTAAAACTCCGTGAAAATCCAGTTTGTGCAAATATCAATAGCAGTGTATTTAGGTGGCAGTGTAATGCTCTACTTTCTCATTTTTACATCTCTTGTAGCTACAGATTTTGTTCGTCCAGCCCCAGGGGGAAACTTGTTTTTCACGGGGTGGTAAGAGGAAGACCACGCTCGTGGCCACCATGACATGCCATATGGAATGAGTGTAGTAGTAGTTGCTGTCGGTCTGAGCAAAGACGTACACACACACTCCAATCAATGCAGATGCGATGCCCGGAAGCAGGAACAGCACCCAACGACGCCACACCGGAGGGTAACACTGATGCCGTTTCACACCTCGATAAACCTGTCGGGTAACACAAGTGAACAGAATGGGAAATATTTCAAAGCTGCTCATCATTACATTAAGATGTATTGTCAACATTATTTTAAAGTTGAATGTAATTTCACCTGTGTAAAACAAAAATTAAGAAAAAACTTTAATTCAAAGTTTTTTTATCTATCATCAGTTTTTGAAAGAAGTCTCTTATGCTCACCAAGGAAGAATTTATTTGATTAAAATACAATAAAAACTGTAATATTGTGAAATATTATTATGATTTTAAATAATTTTAAAATCTGAATTTTCAGCAGCCATTACTCTAGTCTTCAGTGCCACTTGATCCTTCGGAAATCATTTTAATATGCTGACTGGTGTTCAAGAATAATTTCTTATTATAACAGTTGAATAAATTTGTGCTGCTTAATATTTTTGTGAAAACCAAGGTTTTTTTTTATATATTTTTTTTTGATTTTGTAATATTACAAACATCTTCGCCATTACTTTTGATCAATGTAATGCATATCTGCTGAATAAACAACCCCATTTCTCTACAAATATGATCTGACCCCAAAACTTACATATTTAAAAAAAAAAAATACAAAAAAAAAATAAATTCTAGTCTGACTCGATATCAACAAAACAATCTAAGAATACATTATGTTTTGAAGTAATGGAAAAGTCAAGCTCACCCAGGAAGTGACCATAATGACCAAAGCAAACAGAACAGGTCCTAGAAGGTTCCACAGCCCCCTGCGGTCCAACTGCATCGCCATAGAAATGATGAGAGTGCCCACCATAAACAATAACTGCAATGTAAGAACAACATAAGCTATTAAAACTGACATGCAACACATAACTTAACTTTAAGTAAATAATTACTCGTTAAAGCATTGTGCATATGCATGTAAAGGGGTCATATAATGGAAAATCAACATTTCCGTGATCTTTTTAAAATATATATTTTTCATTGTAATATATAAATAGTTTCAGAACCAAAACCTTCCTTCCCAGTCTAAAAAAGACAATCTACTGAAACTAATCTGCAGAAACTGATTGAAATCTGAAATCAGAAGCACACGAATATTAACAATAGACGGCCCACATTCTATTCACTCTAAGAAACACTTAATAGTTTGAGGGTGTTTACTGAAGTCTGATATTTCACCCTAAAGGTGAAGAGAAAGCCAAAATTGACATGAAAAAATAACCGCCCTGAATAAAAAAGGGGGGGGGGGATATTTAATATTTGATATGACCCTTTTTTCAAAAATAAAAAAGTTTTTATGATTATTGATCTGTTAATAACTTATTCTTCTAATTTATACATATAATCACATGATTATAAAGTTATACATAACTAAATGAAATGTAAATGTAAATGAAAAATAATATTTTACTGGCTTGTGGTTGTTTCAAAGTAACAATGTACTTATCTCAACATTTCCTTTAAAAAACAGGTAGGTCTAGTTAAACATGTTGTGCTATTTAAAGCCCATTACATACATATTTTACAGGATCCTGGAGCCGTGCCATGCACACAATGGTCACCCACACGGACACAACAGAACCCAAGAAATCACAGAACTGGAGAGTGTCGTAGTCCATGATACACATCACAGTCACACCGGGCTGGTCACACGCATGATAAAACTGCAAAAAACACATCTCTATGACTACAATATACACAACTAGATAGATAGATAGATAGATAGATAGACAGACAGACAGACAGACAGACAGACAGATAGTATTTGTGTTAATTAAGTATTTGTGTTTATGTTAATTGTAACATAAAAACACACCGTGGAGAAAAACATGTTAAAGAAGTAGATGGCGGCCTCAATGTGGTAGCCTCTGTAAAGTGCTACGACGATGGGTGGGATGAAGAAAAAGTTACTGAGGGT